GACAAAGGCATGTCTGTGGCTGTCTTTTCCTGTTCCAGATGTGAGGACCTGAGGAGATTACAGATGTATCCAGCCAGCCAGGGATGTGCTGACCCAAGTGTGCCTGTGGGCAATTTTTCACGTGCCTGGGCCTTTAGCACTAAGGCATACCTGTGACTGTCTTTCACCTGCCTGGACTACAAGGACCCAGTCTTGCCTGTGAATATCTTCAGCTATCCTGAGACTTTGTGGACCCAGGTGATCTTGTGTCTGTCTTTTACCTGCTAGGGCTGTGCAGATCCTAGCAAGTCCATGGATGTCTTATGATAGCCCAGGATCTTGAAAACTCACATGGGCCTGTGGCTTTCTTTTACCTACCTGGGCAGTGAGGACCCAGGCAGACTTGTAGTTGTATTTCACCCACATGTGCTATGAGACCCCAACCATGTCTCTGCAAGTTTTCGGTCAGCCCAGGTCTTTGATGACTTAGTTGGGCTTTTGGCTTTCTTTTACCTGCCTGTGCAATGAGGATATAGTCTGACTTGTGGGTGTCTTCATCAAGAATGGGATGTGAGGACCTAAGTATCCTGTAGCTGCCTTTCACCTGCCTATGCTATAGTATTCTATACCCTCTGTATTAAAAAAGAGGTAATGTGTACTTTCTTTTCTGAAAGATCTAGCATTCATTTTCTATATTAGTTGACTCTCATTCTCTCTTTTCTTATCCCCATTCTTATTGTTGCTTGTTCTTTATATTTACTATAATGATCTTGCCTCAGGACCTTTCACTTCCCTTTGAGAATGGCTCTCATTCCTTTCAGACCTTTTTCACATGTAACTTGTCACTGTAAGGGTCCAAGAATTGTTGAAGAAGACCCTACTCAAATAGCATGTGAAAGCAAAGAGCATTTATTCTAGCATGAGGGGTTCTACCATTTACACAAAATGGTGACCCCCAAAGGAGTATACAGGCCCCTTTTAAGCTCAGTTATGAGAATTCTAGGAACAGTTATGTCATCTCAAATATAATTGTTTAAGGAGGGTGTAGTACATTTTTAATTGGTTGTGGTTATAGTTTTACTATTTTATAACATACTTGGGCAAAAAAGGTATTAGAGAGGTTATAGGAACTTTTCTTTTTGGACACTGCCTTGAGATACTGTGGGGACTGGCTGAGGCCTAGTACATGCTATCTCCCTCATCTTTGTGTATGTGTTGTCTCATTTTTCTTTTAAGAAACTGAAACTCAGGCCCAACTGTAAAATGGGGAATGTGGAATATTCCTTTGCACTATGTGAATATGTGTCCCTGTGATTGCTATATTTTCTCTGAGTTTGTCAAATGTAAATGGACTAGACATTGTTGACAAACTTATTGCCTGTATATAGTGTATATAATTACTACTTATTGTATGTAATTTTTCTTATGTCAATAGTTTTTCTTTTGTGTTAGACAAAAAAGGAGAATTGTGGTGATATATTATTTATAATTTCCTAAAGCTTGCCTGAAGATTGAGGAAGCAAAGTCAGTCTCAAGATATAGAGATTAAAGGTACACACCTTGAATCCCAGGACTCAGGATGAAGAGGTAGACAGCTCTCTGTTCTATACAAAAGTGAAGAGTAACAGAGCTCATGCTTTTGATCCTAGCACCTGGGATCACACACCTTTAGTCCCAGGATTAGGGAGGTATTTAAGACAGGAACATGGTCTCAGAGCTGGGATTTATTCTCCATTGACTTTGAGGATAGGAAGGTATTAATTCTCCAGTCAAATTGAGGATAGGAAGACATTGAAGTCTCGGGATTCTCCAGCCATGCTGAGGAGAGGCAGCAGTCTAAGGTTTTATGCAGCCAGTACTGACTTTCAGTTTAATATAGCATAAGAGCTAGTAGACAGTTACTTTGCTTTTCTGATTTCAGGTTGAAGTTTGAACCCAATATCTATCTTTGGGTCTTTTATTTATTGTGTTATACTTCCCTTATTGCTTAAGCTACACGATATCTGTACTGCCATCTCCCACTTGGATGTCTCTCATCTTGTGCATTTTTTACAAATTTTACATCACAGTTTATTTTGAGCTTATTTGAATTTTTGTAGCTATTTACCTATTGAGTAACACCTCATTTGCATATTAATCTTATTGGTTATATCAATCGCTGTCATTCCATGATTACAGAAATAAAAAGTGTGTAGTTGTGTATGGTGTGTGTGTATGTATATGTTTGTGTGTTTGTTTAGACAAAGATTAGATAGACAGAGAGTCAGAAAGAAGGAGACATTTGTTGTTTGGAATTAATTCCATGCACTTATGGAGGCTGAAAAATCCACTTTGAAATAATTACACCATTAACATTTAATAGAAAAAAACAATCAGCACCAGTTTCAGCTCCCAAGAATATATTCCCCCATCTGCCTTCAAAGCTGGTTGCTGTCTTTTTTAAATCTTCAAGTTCTCCTACTTTTTGTGACTTCCATGTTTTGTGATGGAGAAATCCTCCATCTCCTGTCTAAGTATCTTTTCCCTGTGGCTATAAAAACTTGTGTTTCTTGAGGTTCTGTGACATTACATTTGACCTATAGTTTCATTGTAGTGTATGTGTGCATGTTTCTTTATATTTACCTTTCTTAGTTTGTATATGTTTTTGGACGGGAAAGGTACATTCCATTACAAATTTGCATTTTAGAATATATTTAATAATTCCTATGATCATATATAGTTAAATACATGAATCTAACACTTGTTCCAAAACTTAATTCTTAGGATTGAATTGAGATGGTAACACTGTAGTTGTTAAAGAACAAAACTGTTTTCTGAAGAAGGAGCATTGCTGGGAGAAAGAATGGTGCCTGCATAAAGTGGTATAAGGAGATAAAATAATGGACTAGGGAGGTGAACCACCAAAAACAAAGGTATAAAAATGCCATAGTGAAAAGTCCATTACTTTGCACACTGGTTTGAAGTACAATAGAAACTGTGGTAAGGATTTATTGTATGAGAAAAGAATCTATTTTCTATTAAAATAAAATACCCATTAAAATTATATGCTAAGAAAATTTCTCGATATATGTTATAGAATGTTCCCAAATGAGCATAAAATAAAAAATCATTACACATTTCAAAGTTTAAAACCAATTGCTAATATTAATGCAAAAAGATGTATGCACAATAAAGTAACCAATGCAATTCCCATGGGTCATTTACTGCTTCCACACAATGTAGGGCAGAAACTGCGGGTAGACTCCTGAGGTAAGTCTCCAGAGCTTGCCAGATCTGTATAATTTACTCCAGATCTTCACACAAGAGTTTCCAAATCACAAATACAATTCCATACCACAGTTTTGAGGAGATAAACTTCATGCCATGCTTAGTTGGTCAATGTTTTTATTTCAGTTTTAATAATTAATCATAAAGTCTTCTGAAAACAGGATTAGCTAGGAGCCTCAACCATGGTGGGAGAAAATATACAAAGATAAATATTACACTGATAAACTTTTGAATTAAAAAATAAGCATTAGACTGACATACTTCTAAATTGTTAACTTTGTTTTGAGATTTTCAGTGAAGTCTTGTAATTAGTCCTACAGCTAAAATCTCCAAAATATGTGGCTGGTGTGACATTACCTATGAAGAAGAGAGAAATTATGGTCAACTAGGATATTGATGCATGTTAATGCTCATTCTTTTATTTTTTCTGCAGGTAACTGAGAATTTGTTGAATACTACTAAGGGAGCATATGCCTATAATCACATTTATGTCACATTCCACAACTGGACATAAGAGCAGACTGAGTGATCTGGGTAAATAAATTTTTCATCCTCAAGACAACTGGTAAGGATGAATATACAGTAAAAAGTATAATTCACCATAGGTAAAAGAAAATTATTCTTTTTTACTTTTATTTTTTTAATAATGAAAATGATTCTTTTTTAAATGATAAAATGGCCCTTAATGAATTAACAGAGTGAGACTTTGTTTAATCATTTTCTTTTATTCATATAATTGACAGAAGAGAGTAAATTCAATCTAACTGTTTAAATCAATTCTTGGCAGATGATAAATGTGGAATTGTCAAACTTTATTGAGTTCAGAATGAACTAGAAGGTATATTTATTTGTTGTCTATTTAAATTTTTAATAATTAGCGTGCATATGAAAAAATATTTTTCTCTCTAACTTTTTTCATGCAATAAATTTTGATTATCTTTTTCTCCTCCCCTAACTCCTCCTAGACCCATCTCTACCCCCAAATGTTATATCTGCATCTCAAAAAATCCCACAAAAATAAAACTCAAACCAATCAAAATGCCAAAAGCATAAAAATTGCCAAAAATACCTCCCAATTTACAAAAAAAAAGGTCAGAAAATCTATGAAGTTCATTTTGTGTAGGCCAACTACCCCTAGTCCTGATACCTGCTGGTTGATATGCCCAGTAAGACTGTTTTGGAAAATGGAATTTTATCTTTGCCAGTGTGTATTATTTATAGAAAGCTTCTTCTTATAAGTCACAGTCTGTGTCCACTTTCCCTTCTCCATGTTGAAACCCCATCTGGCTTGAACTTATGCATCCTGTCATAGTCCCTGTGAGTTCATATCTATATCTGTCCTGTTGTGTCTGGAAGATACTGTTTTCTTGGAGTCATCCATCCCCTTTACCTCTTACAATCTTTCCACATTCTCTACCACACAGTTCCTTGAGCCCCGTGGGGAGGGCTTTTCTGGGGACATCTCATTTAGCATAAGGTGCTCCAAGGTCTTTCATTCTTTGCCTACTGACAGATACAACTTTTAAATTGAATGTACTCTTCATAAAATCTTTTCAGATTTACTAGCTATAGATATATGTAGCTAGCACATTAAACACATTAAATTGGCATTCAAAGTCCAGGCTTTGGAGAGATTCTTTTCAAAGAAATGAATGTCTATATCTTGTATTTATATGTATCAATTTTATGTTCATTATTATATTATTTTTCTTTCTAATTGTCAGATAGCATCCATAGTCTGTGAGAAAACAATTATGAAGAACATGACAGAAGTGACACAGTTCTTCCTCATAGGACTCACCAACACCCCAGGCCTTCAGCTTCCCCTTTTTATCACCTTCTTCTTCATCTACATCATTACCCTATTGGGGAACCTGGGGATGTTCCTTCTGATTCTCTTGGACTCTCGGCTTCATACTCCCATGTACATTTTTCTGGGTAATCTTTCCCTCGTTGATCTTGGCTACTCTTCAGCTATCACCCCCAAAGTCATGGCTGGGCTCCTAGTAGGAGACAAAATAATGTCTTACAATGACTGTGCTGCTCAGATGTTCTTTTTTGCAGGATTTGCTACGGTAGAAAATTACCTGTTGGCTTCAATGGCCTATGATCGCTATGCAGCTGTGTGTAAGCCCCTACACTATACCACCACCATGACTACAGGTATTTGTGCATGGCTGATTACAGGATGCTATGCCTGTGGCTTTCTGAGTGCCTGTATCTATACCGGAAACACATTAAGTCTATCCTTTTGTAACTCCTATGTGGTCCATCATTTTTTCTGTGATATGCCAGCAGTCATGGCTCTCTCTTGCTCTGATAGTCATATTAATGAGCTAGTTCTTATTTGTCTAGCCAGCTTCACTATCTTTTTTGCTCTTACAATAATATTGTTATCCTACAGCATAATTATTATAACAATATTAAAGATGCATTCAGGAACAGGATATCAAAAGGCTATTTCCACCTGTATCTCCCACTTCACTGCAGTTTCTATTTTCTATGGAACAATTATCTTCATGTATTTGCAACCCAGCTCTAGACATGCAATGGACACTGACAAAATTGTGTCAGTGTTCTACACCATGGTCATCCCCATGCTGAACCCTCTAGTTTACAGTCTGAGGAACAAGGAGGTTAAGAGAGCATTCATGAAATGGTTCTAAAGGAAAAATAACCATTATGGTTATGACTTTAAATATTTTGTGATATACAATATTAAAATTCACATTTATCAGATCTTCTGATTACTGTGCTATACTTTGAACATACTGCTTCAAGATCTGAGTACTTATTCATGCCTCTGGATTTCATTTTGTCCTGGGAATCAAGGAATATTATGTTTAGAAGCATATTTTAGTTTGATTTGTCAAAAACATTTTTACCTTTATTGATACATTCAACAGTTTCTTTTTCCTTTCTCCTCCTGGTATAGTATCATAGTTAATCTTCACTGTCAACTAGACTGGATTTGTTATCACTATTGAAATATACCTCTAAGGTTGTGCACTGGACTGTTTTAAGTTTTTCTATGCTTTGTTTCAGCAGCCATAAGAATCTAATGAAAGTCATTAGCTTATCTTTTTTTTTGTACTCAGACATTACTTTGTACTCAGCTATGACTATGACTATATATTGGGAGAATTTACCACAAAAATTTCCTATCCTTTAATTGTCTTTATTTGAATGTTTGTCATTGCTAACTTAATGTCTGTATTTGTCTTGTCATTTCTGACGTTAATTTTGTTAATGTACATATATTCAGGAATTTATATTTTTTATGTTTTTCAAATGATGATTTGTAGGTTGTTTAATATATTCTGTTATACAGTGATCTGTTGTTCTAGCCTCTGCTCAGACTTACAAATTTCAGATCATTGGATAAGCTTTTAAAAGATGCTTTTATTTATTTTGTAGTATGTGCATTACAGGAAACAAAACACAAAAAGCCAAGAACAGTCTCCCAGTCACAAGCAGCTCAGCTTGCTGTGTCCTTCTAGATGCTGCAATGTACACACATTTAGGGAATTAAGATTATACAATATGTATCAAGCTTTCCCCCACATTGTGAATATCCACCAACTAAAAACCCCAACTCTACATGAGTATTTTGATAACCAAGAGTACACCACACCATCTCAATCTGTCAGACAAGACTGTAATTCTGTCTTCCTTGGCAACAAAAATTTCATAGAAGACAAAAATGGCAGCAGGCTTCTAGATAGAAGTACTGGCGAAGTTACAATTAAAATTCTGCATTCCCTTAATGTTCACCTTATAAGGAAACACAAAGCAACAGACCAACTGAGTACAGCATTCCTAAGTTTATCACCAGATCTATATACTAAAATACGAAGGTGTGTTCCTGCTCAATAAATGTATTCCCATGGAGCACCGAAGATGCACCTATGGCAGGGGTCCTCAGGATGTCAATCTCAACACAGCACAGTGCCGCAGATCTCGCCCTGTGAACCTCTCTGCCTCACCAGTCAGCCAAGCAACATGAATTAACTCACACTGTCCAGACATGGCATAGCAATTCAGAGGCACCTTTTCTGTCAATCTATGAAGCTATACTTTTAACCATATGCTCTCCTTTAGGACATTCATGAAGTTCAGATGTTGTGGGATGAACTTTGTACACAATAAACACAAGTATCTGCACATATGGATCCCTGGGTACAGCTGTTTTCTAGATGGGGTGGTCCTAGCAAAGAGCTCTTTCTTCATCCGTCCTCTTCTTTGCCCGACTCCTGTCCAGGATGCTGCCAGTCATACAAAGGTCACCCCCAGAAGACAGCCCTTCTTTTGGGCACTGGGACTTATCCTCTAATACTTGGCAACATTCAACATTAACTGAAATGTACACAGGAACAGTGGCTAGGCCAGTGGAACCAACCAACAGGCAGTGCCTTGCCCTGCACTATTCTTTCCCCTATTCGCCTCCACCTGGTAACAGTATCTGCTCAAAGATAAAGCTCAACAATTCCACACCACCCATAACCATTCCTATGAAATAATAATCCTTAAAAGGTGTTAACTCTTTATTTTTAACATGTGCAGTTTTTTTTACATTTAATTAGTACTTGTGGGCACATGCATGCCACTTATATAAGGCTATAAGATAATTTGTGAATTACTTTTCTCCTTTCATTATGGGGATCCTAGAGAGCAAACTCAGGCTACAAGCTGTGTGGCAAGCCCCTTTATGTGCTGGGCCATCCCAACAGTCCATTATGCACATTTTCTTACTGTCTATGTAGCCCTGGCTGGCCTGGGACTCACAAGATCCACCTGCCTCAACCTAGGAGTAAAGGTATGCATTACCGCACCAAATCTATTATGCACTTTAAAGTCTAAAGACTAGATGTTTCCACTAACACTTCTGTTTCCCCAGCATATGTACAATGCAGTGCAGTAAATAAACTGCACATATCTCTATACAGCAACATTCTGGTCTAGACCCTCTCCCCATCTCTCTCAACCCAGTTTATGTAACTTATGTTTTTTTTTTATTTTTTTGTGAGGATATTAACAATTTCACATCCTAAATGGTTTTGAGTTTTTTCCTATGAATTTTAACACAACTTTAAAACATGTCTTTTCACTAACTCTACTTTGTCACACATTGGCAGCCTCTTCACCATTTAGGAAGACTAAGTGCTGCATATTTGGACTTGTTTGTCCTATTATACACCACACATTGCAAAAATAAGATGCACAGATAAAAGGGACAATGGCTAATCTTCATTACCAAAACTTACATTAGTATTAGGCCCTTCATAACTCTTTCTTTCTCCCTCCCAAACCAGCACACATCTATATTGCTCAGAAGTGATTTTAGCATTCCATTTCCAAAAGACAGCATTTCACCACCAGTTTAAACAGAATAATCTACAGGATAATCTACAATATGTATTATTTACTGCATGTACCTTTAACATACTTTGTGCATTTCTAAACCCCTAGAAGGACTAGATGTTTCAGATGAGGACATAAATGTGTCTCCTATATACAGAGTAGTGTTGAAACCACACACATGTAACAATGAGTAGATCTCAAAGTGTCCTCTGCTGAGAGCATTCTGGTCTCCCACCTCCTTTCTCTCTAGCCCCTCCCCTGTATCATGTGACACAGGCACCTGACATTTGGATGATACTTTCACAACTCCTTTCAGAAGACAACCTTGTTATGGCTTTTAATACAGAGTATATAGAATGGGCTAGTTTACTGACTCTACTTTTGCCATACACTGGCAACCTCTTTAAT